ATCACTGTATTTTTAAATTAACTCAATTTATTGAGACAAACAACAAATTGTTTTTGTTTTAACAGTCAAAAACGAAATAAAAATTAAACAAATATCTAATTTCTAATGTTTTATATGCAGATTAAACAGGTTAAACTTTTAAGGAGGGCGCAATGAGCAAAATAATGCAGCACGTTTTAAATGTTCAACGCAAGGAAGTAATAGTCTATTAAAAAATGTGCATTACGTCTAAATGAACTCATATAAATTGCAAATTGCATAAACAATTATGAACAAAACAGCATCACGTATTTATGCATTGCTTCATACAAAGAGCCGAAGCGCCATTCTCACAGACTGCATTTAAACACATATGAGACACAGTGAAAAGGAATAAACCTCCACAAATTTGCGACGTGTTAACAACAAATTTTTTTTTGTTTTAACAGTCAAAAACGAAATAAAAATTAAACAAATATCTAATTTCTAATGTTTTATATGCAGATTAAACAGGTTAAACTTTTAAGGAGGGCGCAATGAGCAAAATAATGCAGCACGTTTTAAATGTTCAACGCAAGGAAGTAATAGTCTATTAAAAAATGTGCATTACGTCTAAATGAACTCATATAAATTGCAAATTGCATAAACAATTATGAACAAAACAGCATCACGTATTTATGCATTGCTTAATACAAAGAGCCGAAGCGCCATTCTCACAGACTGCATTTAAACACATATGAGACGCAGTGAAAAGGAATAAACCTGTACAAATTTGCAACGTGTTTTCTAAAAGTTTAAACCGTTTTAATTTTGCATGGCTACATCTCTTGTGTGAGACGCGAGTGCAGCAGTCGTATTTGTCCGTCTAGAAAATGTGCTGAATATGTGTTCTGTGTGAATGGCTTGGTTTCGGCTTCCCAGCATTGAGCTTCGATATTTCTCTAATATTTTGAATGAATAACGCAGCAGCTGCGCGTCTCGTGGGCTAGACTAACAAAACATTAAACTACAACATCACTTGCATCATCACCGCATCTCGTGCTCCACTGACGATACTATAGTAGTATACATTAACAAAGGTTAACTTATGTTAACCAATGAGACCTTAATGCAAAGGTGTTAGTATCAAGTCTATGCAGTTCATGCTCATGCAATTTCAATGTTGGATTTTAAGGTTCTTTCTCTTTACTTTTGTAATCTGGTACTATTTTGGCTCCTGAAAATCTGGATCTTGAAGCAAAACCAGTTGATAAACGCAGTCCTGAAGAGAAACACACTATTGTGGCAAAACATTCTGCCACCAAACTGCGCTCGCATCAGCCGCATAATAAACCTAATTCAGATGAAAGAGAGGCCAAATGTTAATTGGATTAAAGCACACGGCTCATTATGATCACAAACAATGAACTCTGAGAGAGAGAGAGAGAGAGAGAGAGAGAGAGAGAGAGAGAGAGAGGCTGCATCACAAGTGCCCTGCTTTTATATCAGTCTCTCCTCCTGATGATAACTCACAGCGTTTATGGCTGCGTCATATTGTCATTCTCCTGGAATCAAATTTCACGCCTGCTGCGATCTGCACTGATGCATTATGGGAGAATCCTTCCGCATACAGTATATCTGACTCAGTGAAAGCACGACTAAAATCAGTCTGTCAGCCGCGAGAACATCTGCTGTGACGACAAACCAGGAAATATAACAGGAAACGCTTCTTAAAATAAGTCTTTTGGTTCAAATATATGGCATAAACTGCTTTTTGAAATCGACAAAGTCTGAATATATCAACCACCTGCCATACTTACACCATCCAATCAATTCTTAATATATAACATCAAGCCTTTTCCTACTTTTTCCTCATTGAATATCCTGTTTTACTCTGAAAATGCTACATTACAGACTCTAAATTTGCACCTAGCAACCACCCAGACTTCCATAGCAACCACACTGCAACAAGAGTGTTATGGCCAGTGTTGTTATAGTTAACTAAATCTATTAAAAATTGCTTTCGGTAATTTAAATAAAACTGAAGGAAAATAAAACATAAATATTAGATAAAAAAACTTTAACTATTAAAAAATGGATTAAAGTTATTACAAATATATTAAAAATATTTTTGTTGATTAAAATAAAACTAAAGGAAAATAAAATAAAAAATATTAAAAACTAATTATTTAAATTAGAAAATGACAATAAGTTGAGGTGCTAAAATTACAAAATAAATATAATGAAATAAACAAATTAAAACTTAATTGAAATATAAAAAGAAAAAAGACAAAAACACAAAATTACTAAAATTACTAAAACTAATCTATAAAAAAAACACTTTGGTTAATTAAAATAAATCTAAAGGACAATAAAATATAAATATTATATTAAATATTTACAAATTATTTCAAATATTTTAAAATAATTAAATACATATTTTTTTAATTACAAAATGAAAATAAGTTGAGGTACTATAATTGTTAAATAAATATGACAAATATAAATTAAAGAAAAATAGCAATATAAAACCAAAAGCAAAAATACAAAAACACATAATAAGATTACTAAAACTATTAAACCACTTTTGTTAATTGAAGTAAAGCTAAAGGATAATAAAATATAAATGTATTCAAAGCTTAAAATTACTAAAACTAAAAATTAAATTAAATATAAATTAATAGCTAAATATAAAATATTAACAAAAAAAACAATAATAAAAAAATAAAATGAGCAAAACCTTTTTTAAAAAATCAGAAATGCTGCGTTGGCAACTGTTTAAGTCGAAATACTAAAATGACTAAATTACTTAAAATAAAAAAATTAAAAAGGCTGCCCTAGAAACAACATAGCAACAGTGTGTTATTGTTAAAACTATTAAATTAAATGAAAATTAGAAATGCTGCCTACTAACTAACTGAATTAAAATGTAGTTTAAGTTAAAAAAATTACTAAAATTGTAATAAAAAATCAATTCGAATTTAACAAAAAAGCACTTACTTAAAATAAAAAAATTAAAAAGGCTGCCCTAGAAACAACATAGCAACAGTGTGTTATTGTTAAAACTATTAAATTAAATGAAAATTAGAAATGCTGCCTACTAACTAACTGAATTAAAATATGTAGTTTAAGTTAAAAAAATTACTAAAATTGTAATAAAAAATCAATTCGAATTTAACAAAAAAGCACATAAAAAAAAAGAATCACTAAAACTAAAATTAAAATGAAAACATAAAAAACACTAATTAAAAATATGAATAAATACTAAAACAGCATATGAATAATTCTAAAATAACACTAGTTATGGCTCACATCTCTCTGTTTTTAAGTGAGCTCATATTTCTTAAGACGCCGCTGCTGCTGCTGCTGCTGAGAATCCACATTCAGTCTGTGTGCTGGATCAGACAAAAGCTCTGATGATAAAGAGCCTCGGCTCGGACACACAATGGGCTGCATTATACGCTCTTTCAGACTTATTCAGACTCCTCCCAGACAGTTCAGCCCTGCTGGGTGTAACTTCACATGCGTCTACACCCTGACATTCCCACACATCAGTGACAATCTCACAGACGTGACGCTAAACTACAGCTGTAACAACCGCTTCTGGGTTCCGGTTTCTTACACTTTTTAATTCGGATTTTCTGTTGAATTGGTATTTTATATTTTCAGTTTGCATTTTAATTTGAAAGTTTTAGTTGTCATTTTTATTCATTTTTGGGGTAATTTTATTCCGTCTATATAGTTTTTAATAATTTGTATTACAGATTTAGTTTTTAAATCAAATGTTTTTAATATTTTATTTTAGTTTTATTTCAAGGAAAGTTTTATTTTTTAAAGGAAATGAATGTTTTTATTCAGCAAGGACACATTAAATTGATCAAAAGTGAAAGTAAATACATTTATAATGTTAAAAAACATTTTTTAAATATATATTTAATTTTAAAGTTTTATTTAATTTTAGTTTTATTTCGTTTTTTTATTTTTTTAAAAGAAATTAATACTTTTATTCATCGAGGATACATTGAAAATTGCATCCAAAGACATTTGCAATGTTACAAAAGATTTCTATTTCACAAACGCTGTTCTATTTAACTTTCTATTCATCAAAGAATCCTGAAAAATGAAATGCATCACCTTGTATTACAGATTTAGTTTTTAAATCAAATGTTTTTAATATTTTATTTTAGTTTTATTTCAAGGAAAGTTTTATTTTTTAAAGGAAATGAATACTTTTATTCAGCAAGGACACATTAAATTGATCAAAAGTGACAGTAAATACATTTATAATGTTAAAAAACATATTTTTAAATATATATTTAATTTTAAAGTTTTATTTAATTTTAGTTTTATTTCGTTTTTTTATTTTTTTTAAAGAAATTAATACATTTATTCATCGAGGATACATTGAAAATTGCATCCAAAGACATTTGCAATGTTACAAAAGATTTCTATTTCACAAACGCTGTTCTATTTAACTTTCTATTCATCAAAGAATCCTGAAAAATGAAATGCATCACCTTTTACACAAAAATATTGTGCAGCACGACTGTTTTCAACATTGATAATAATCAGAAATGTATCTCGAGCAGCAGATCAGCATATTATACTGATTTCTGAAGATCATGTGACACTGAAGACTGGAGGAATGATGCTGAAAATACAGCTTTGGTCACAGAAATAAATGACAGTTTAACAGATATTCACATAGAAAGCAGGTATTTGGAATTGTAATAATATTTCAAATTTTTTACAGCATTTTTGATCAAATAAATGCAGCCTTGGCGAGCAGAAGAGACTCCTTTCAAAAACATTACTAAATCTTACCAACCCCAAAAATTCTGAACAGCAGTGTAAAGCAGGCAGAGATAAAATACACAAACACAAACAGAAGAGAAACGGCGTGAATGTTGGTGATCAGGTGACGTCACTCCTGCCAAGAGCCCTGATGAACATTCACACTCTCGGCTCTTAAGATCAGTCCCGTCTGAATCTATTAAATCAAATGAAGAGGCACGTGCTGTCAGACAAGAACCTCTGCTCACCTCCATGTCTCTCTTTGTTGACTGAGGTCGCCGTTTTCCTTGTGTACTGTGCAGAGACTCCAGCTCTTCCTCAACGCAAGACTTCAACCTCGCTGGACTCACGGGACGGTTTCTGTCCTTTCGTTCGCCGAAAACCCTCTTCCCCTGAAACAACATGATAAAACGCTCTCTAACATCACTGAAATTCTTGCTTTAATGTGACTAGTGTCTGGTTGCTGATGACAGTGTTCAAAGTTGGGCTGCACAATTTGATAAAAAATACTATTAATAATAAATTATGATTTTGACTTAAAATGTGACCCTGGAGCACAAAAGCAGTGTTAAGTCGCTGGGGGATATTAGTAGCAATAGCCAACAATACATTGTATGGGTCACAATTATACATTTTTCTTTTATGCCAAAAATCATTAGGATATTAAGTAAAGATCATGTTCCATGAAGATATTTTGTAAATGTCCTACCATAAATATATTACAACTTAATTTTTGATTAGCAATATGCATTGCTAAGAACTTCATTTGAACAACTTTAAAGATGATTTTCTCAATATTTAGATTTTTTTTTTGCACCCTCAGATTCCAGATTTTCAAATAGTTGTATCTCAGCCAAATATTGTCCTATCCTAACAAACCATACATCAATGGAAAGCTTATTTATTCAGCTTTCAGGTGATCTATAAATCTCAATTTTGAAAAATTGACACTTAAGACTGGTTTTGTGGTCCAGGGTCACAAATGTGATATTCTTTTACACCTCTAGGTTTTCTTTGCTTGCTCGTAAAGCTGCACAAATTGGTCAAATATTGTGTGATTATATACCAGTATACCTATAACAATAATAACTGCTATTCATTTTATTATGATGATGATTTTTATTACTAAATACAAATATATTGAAAAAAAAAAAACATACTATAGTAATTGTTCACATTATATATTGTGTCTATATAAATTTTATTAATTTAATTTTTTTGTAAAATCAAGTCAAACTAAATGAAAATGGGAAATGTCGCATTTGCAACTAGTTAAAATAATTGTTTATTTTATATTTAATAAATTTTTTAATATTTTATCTTAGTTACATATTAGGTTTTATTTCAAGTAATGATTTGTTTATGATTAAAAAAAACTAACAGAAATAAAATAAAATATAAAAATATTTAAATATTTTATTTTCCAAATTAAAATGTTCCATATTTTTCAGTATATTTTCCAAACTAGCTATATAAAACTATATAGACAAAACAAAACCTAATAAAAACGACAAGAACACAACAAAATGATTAAAACGAACTAAAATTTAGAAAAATAACAAATTAAAAATAATTCAAAACATTAATAAAAACTAAAAAAAAGTGTCCCTGATACTAAAATAATGCTGATTTCACTATAAAAATACTGTTTAAGAAAAATAACGTAAAAATAATTTTATTTTACAATACAACTGAAATTGAAACAAATTGAAACAAAATTAATTTCATTATTTTTTTTTAAATGCTAAATCATCCACGCTTTTATTTTGGGAGAAAAGCACAAAGAGCCTTTAAAGCTTCTCTTATGTTGACAAAAGCTGGTTTATCATTACGAGCGCTTCTCATTATGAGTTTGGGAAGAACGTTGCCGTTTAGCTTTTATTCAGATTAAATGCTCAAGATTGCAAGACATTATTAAAAGTAATCAAAGTCATCAAAGAGAGAAAATGAGGCTTTCCCAAAACGAGCAGCTGATTAAACAACAAAAACCACACATCTAAGATTCATTATCTACAGAGAGTCTACATGTAGCGCCTAATAACTTTTGTCCGGTCCACTTTAAAGTCAGTGAAGGTTGATTCAGTCTCACCTTGACGTTCCCTGATGTTGTGACGAGCAGCTGCCGTCTCTTTCCTCTCCCGATGCTGAAGACGCTCGATCCCGGATCCTTCTCCTGCTCTCCGTCCCTCAGTCCTCCGGGGCCCGAACGCTTGGTCACCACACGCTGATCCTGAACTCAACAAACATTTATGTATAACATCGAAACTCTCTACTATTATTCATATGTACAACTATCATTGATAGGGATGTAACGATTATCCGCGAGCCGGTTGAATCTCGATTCAGATATGTGACGATTCAAATCGGTTGAGATGCTAAACAAATCGTGATTCATTTAAGGGTAGGAGTTTATATGAATGCATGTCTGAGGGGAACTTACTGTCTTTAGAAAAGTTTAGATGGTATTTTTTCTTTTCATCTGGCCTCTGTATAATGCATATTAAAGATCATAAGTGCAGCGCTGCTTTGTTTACAGCGGTAACCAAGAAAACGCTTTAAGCGCCACCTGCTGGCAGAGAATGCATCTGCATCTCGTTCAGCTCGTCTGCCGTTTCATGCAGATATTTTTATGTATAGTTTCACAAAACTGAAGTCAAACCATTCTGCTTTTGCTTCAGATTTCAAAATTATACAATCTAATTTAGATTAAAAACTGCTCATGTTGCATGTATGCAGCATCTTTGTTTGGATCGTGATTAAAATGCCGGTTGCCTATAATTTTAAATGGAAAGCGCACAGACAAAGCCCTATTTTTTTTTTATATGAAGAGATTTATTTTATTTGTGTTATTTATTTGATTTGGGGCTTGTTTTAAAATTTCAATTTAGTTTTGTTATTTACACTATATTTAAATTTTGTCATTTAGCAGACGCTTTTATCCAAAGCGACTTACAAATGAGGACAATAGAAGCAGTCAAAACTAACAAAAATCGTGAATCATGAATCGAATCGAATCAAATCGTGAGTTGAGTGAATCATGTTATTTACACTATATTTAAATTTTGTCATTTAGCAGACGCTTTTATCCAAAGCGACTTACAAATGAGGACAATAGAAGCAATCAAAACTAACAAAAATCGTGAATCATGAATCGAATCGAATCAAATCGTGAGTTGAGTGAATCGTTACATCCCTAATCATTGATTTTCTCCACATTTAGTTTACTTCAGGTTCTAGTTCAGGACAGCACGGGTTCAGCGGCTTTCAACCTTTTTGACTCCAAGGTCCCCCGTTTAGTATCTTTAATATATTATTATAATCGTTATTATTATTTTAAATTAGTTTTATTTTTATATTTTGTTTTTTATCAAGTTTTAGTAATTTAGTTGTGTGTTTTTGTCATTTTGTTAGGTTTGTGTTTAATTTTTTTTACATAGTTTACTATTTTTTTTTTAGTAATTTGAAATATTTGAAATAAAAAGGTTTAATTAATTTTTTTTATTTAATCATTTCAGTTTATTTTATTTCAAGTAAGGGAATTTTTTCGTGGTTCTAGACTAGTTTTAGTTAACTATAATAACCCTGCTGTGTACAAAAACATTTGAAGGCCCCATGACTTTTCCATTTGTTTGCGATTTATTCGATAAGGATTAATGATAAGGACTTTTAAAGGTGCCATAGAATGCAAAAATCACTTTTATAAGGTGTTTGAACACCTATAATGGTAAAAATCCACCCACTCATTGTTTTATAATCCCAATAAATCATAAACAGTCTCTTCACACTAGCATATCCAGATTTCTCACTACTATGACGCCATACTCGGGGGAAGTTCCGCCCATTTATGACGCTCTCTGCCGTATTAGCATATACACAGCCCTGAGTGAGAAGCAGCGGTCTGCCATTACTGTTTTCTTGCTGTAGCTGCTGGAGGTACAATGTCAGCGCCAAAGAGCCATTAAAAGTGTCGTGTGTTGGGATGCACCAACGAACATAGGAGTCTCCATAGACCGCTGAGGACACGGTGGTTACATTTCATTTTTGAAAGAAATGTCCCGGATAAAAAAAAACAGAAAAGTCCAATCCGTTTGTGCTAACATTTTTTACGCCGGACTGCCTCACACACGAGGGTCAGCTCAGTGCTGGAGTTGTGCAAAGATTGCTTCTGAAAGAGGGATCGATACCAGAGCTTCGTGCGCAAACGTCCAGACAAAGTAAGCATCACGCCTCATATTCTGTTTTCCAAAAGAGAGCTTCCGGCTCTCTGTAAGGCTAATGTTGCTAAAGCTATCATTGTCTCTGCCTGTTTTCACTAATGCTGCCTTCACGTGCTACCAGAATGATCGTAAATAGGAATGTGGTAGTTAAAAATTGCATTTGGAAGCAATGTGAAATCGGTAACACGGTCACCACCAGTTAAACCGTAACACCGGTATGCCCGCGAGCATGAGCTCTTGAAGCTCCGCACTCTTCTGAAAGGGGAGGCGGGAGCTCCAGCTCATTTTCATTTAAAGGGACAAACACAAAAAACAGCGCATTTTGGCTCATACCCTAAAAGTGGCAATTTCAACAAGCTATAAGAAATTATCTGTGGGGTATTTTGAGATAAAACTTCACATACACACTCTGGGGACATCAGAGAACAAATTAAAATATTGTATCAATGCATTCTATGGCACCTTTAAAACTATTTTTAATTAAAATATATGTACGTTTTCCAAGACGGTGGGAATCCTGGTCCTTCAAAAACAATTGCTGAAGGGTTTAATTAATTTAAATATCTTGACATTTTTTTGTTGTTTTGTCTAATTTTAAGTTATCTTGAGGTCCCCTGTTTCAGACGTCAAGTCCCATCAGAGATCGTTTCAAAGCAGCAATAATCAGGAAAATAACAGCGCTAGCGTTGTAAAATTCAGCGATTATGAACCAAATTTTATTTCAGCTGTAAAGCAGATCTACAACAGACAATAGTGTCTTTTTCAGCTCGGTTCAGTTCAATGTTGATTCAATTCAGTTCAATAACAGTGACAATGTTGCAAAATTCATAAACTACGAAATTAATTTAATTTCAGATAAAGCAGCTCTACAGAAGACACTAAAGTCATTATTCAGCTCAATTCTGTTCGATGCTTATTCAATTCAGTTCAATAACATGTCAATGTCGCAAAGATAAATTCCTGTACTGACAAAATGTCACCTTTGGACAAAATAAATGCCAAGTGTAAATGTAGTTGCATTTACTAAAAGTACTACACTGTAAGGGTAAAAATGAAGTAACTAAAACCACATCTAAATTGATCAAGCACCAACCAGTGACTAAAAATAAAGATTCAGCATGTTGAGCATCAAGTCATTTCTCCATCCTCTTTGCGAGTTCAATGCTGCACGAAGCAACACAATCAAAGCGGAAGACTTTATATGGTCAGCGTTCGAGTCTCTGGTGTTTGTGTTTGCAGGAATAAAGCAGCTCACGTTGGAGGATTTGTTGATGGTGATGGTCAGATCATCAGGCTTTCCCTTCCTGCTGTGGAGTGCCATCCCTTCCTGTTCCGCCCGCTTTTTATCCTCCTCCACTTCCTGCAGAACATCATAAAACTCAAAAAAAACACTTTGTGTGTTTGGGCCTTGCTATGGGATCGCTGACCTCTAACCATTTTATTTTTTTCACAATAAATACATAAAATGATTTCTGAATGAGGTTTCGTGACTTTAAATGTTTTGTTTGCAAATGTTAATTAATCAAGTGTGTTTTTTGACAGATTTTAAATACGAGTACAAGGTTTTCACCTGGTAGCGTTTCATAAGCGCTTCATTTTTCTTCCGTAAGGCCTTGATCTTTTTATCCAGCTCTGCGTCCTTGTGTTCCTTCTTCATCATCATCATTTCTGTGGGACTCTGAACAGTTTATGAACATGTCAACATCACATACACAAACACAATAGCAAACAATCTGTGCAACATCACATTGATTATGCCAGCCAGCAGGCTTTCTGTTATTCACGGCGTCTCGCACGAAAATTAAACTCTTTCTACACAAACATCAGCGTAATGGTCTTGCACATTTTTCTTGTCCATTTGTGGAGGAGACATTTGAACAGTCTGGAGCAAAAAAAAAAAAAGAGAATTACATAAAGCAAATCTATCAAAATAAGGCTGCATTTATGTTACATAAATATCTATAAAATGCCAGAGACCCAGAAGAAAAAGTTCAGGAATGAAACTCAAATACAATGGCATATATGACCAGTCAATTGACTGTTTACATGTTTCTTTAACACCGCATGCATGGATGTGCCATTATTAGCATCAGCTGCTGCGAGCGGCAACATGAGCTCAGCGCATTAAAACTCATGCTATCAGCTGTTTCAAGACGTCTGACTCTCACATGTGACCACAATTTCAAAGGCTGCCACTCAAAACACATTCAATAACCTCAAGATCTTGGAATATAAAACAATAATAATAATTCAATAACTATTACTACTATACTAATATTTATGGATGAAAAATAATTCAGAATTTGGGAAAAAATTAAGTAGTTTTCATAGGGCCTGAAAATTTAATTTGTCAAATTTTTCATGACTCATAAATTGTACGAGTTTCATGATTTGAATTAATTAGACATGCTTTTTGATTACTAAAATTTAACTTGATGATTAAAAAGAGAATCCAGAAAAATTAAAACTGAATAAAAGGAATCCAGAGAAAATAAAACAGGAAAAAATAAATTCAGAAAAAAATAAAATTATA